GCATGGCACTGTACCTCCTAGTAGGTTTAAAGCTACGTTATTATAGTTATTATTGCTGATAATAGGCAGCATCACACAGGGGTAAACTAGGAAGTGTCTTTTTAGTTGTTTTCAGCTTATGTAACCCTTTTCCTAAACATAAGTTTACACCTGACCCTGAGGACCAACCCTAAACTTAACCCCTTTACCCTTGTGCCTAAACCTAACGAAGACCGTAAACCTAACCGTCAGACCCTTTACTCTAAACCCAACCATGTGAAGCTATTATGATGCGCTAACAAATCTAAAAATAGAGCCTATTGTCATCACTAACAACGTACTTTTAAACCCACTGGGAGGTACAGTCTGACCGCTACACACGGAGATGATAACAACTAATAACGGCCATTTAATGGCTGATAACATCTGAAGCGGGGAGAGTGGGGGTTCTTCCACCGTAGAGGCAGGGCAGCCCAGAAAGTTGTGGTTCAGTTCCCAGCCATTCCCACATGTCATGGTGCCTCTGAGCAAGACACCTAATCTAACTGCTCCCAGGGTGCTTACATAGCTGCCCACTGCTCCACCTGGGTGTATCTCAGGTGTGATGAGTTAAATGCAGAGAACTAAGTTTGCCATTGTATGGGAAAATACTACGATGATAATCTCAAACTTCCCTTCCCAACCTGAGCCTTTTTTGTTTGCACAAAGTTTTTAAATGACACATATTTGTCATACCATTGTTGGTTCGTTTTTCTGAACTGACTGAGGGAATATTTACTCACATGATTAGGTCCCCCATCATTCATAGGCCAGTGTTCTGCTTGATACGAACCAGTTTGAAAAGGGGCAATTTTGTCCAAAACCTCTAGTAATTTATTTTTAAACAATAACCATGTTCTTGATAATAACATCATACCAATTTATATTTCTAAGTAAATGTTAAGTCTTAATCTCAGGTACAACACATCTGTGGCACATCTACGCTGACAGGCGGTTGTGTCCGAGTTCCTGCTGATACATTTACAATATACCACAATTAACAACCATCACAAAAAATGCCCTTCTGGTCCGATCTCACTGTTTTTTCCACATTCAATGCATGGGTACTTGGTAGTGTTTTAGAATTTATGTTATGAATCTTTTTATTATATTATGGCTGAGAACATCTTTCTGTAATGTGTGCACACAACATACTCAGCCTGAAGGCCAGCTCGCTGACCCGCAGTGCCTCATTGGTGTTGACGCCATGAGAACATGCTCAAAACATTCTCGTCTCCAGCTGGAGGACAACTAGATGATGGATCTGACTGTGGCTGTGAGGGAATATGCCTGCTGGACTCTGCTGCTGTATAAAAGTCTGCAGCAAACTCTGTTCGGTGCTCATTCCGTGTCATGATCAAGGCATTGTACAGTATATCTGTGTTGTGTGTTGAATGAGTCACGTAAAACTAGTTAAAAGTCGTCTTGTGTCCTCAGAACAGGAAGGCCTAAAGGCGCAGGTGGGAACCACCTGCAAGCAGCATAAGGGTGAAGGTAAGGAACCAAAATCATACCGGTCATGTTTGTTTACATTTGCATTTAGCAGGAGTGTCCTTTACCCGTTTGTGGTCAGTACCATTAGCTACCAAGTTCAGAATATACAGGTCCTTCTCAAAAAATTTGCATATTGTGATAAAGGTCATTATTTTCCATAATGTAATGATAAAAATGAAACTTTCATATATTTCAGATTCATTGCACACCAACTGAAATATTTCAGGTCTTTAATTGTTTTAATACTGATGATTATGGCATACAGCTCATGAAAACCCAAAATGCCTGTCCCAAAAAATTAGCATATTTCATCCCACCAATGAAAGACAAGTTTTTTAATACAAAAAACACCAACCTTCAAATAATCATGTTCAATTATGCACTCAATACTTGGTCGGGAATCCTTTTGCATGAATGACTGCTTCAATGCGGCGTGGCATGGAGGCAATCAGCCTGTGGCACTGCTGAGGTGTTATGGAGGCCCATGATGCTTCGATAGCGGCCTTAAGCTCATCCAGAGTGTTGGGTCTTGCGTCTCTCAACTTTCTCTTCACAATATCCCACAGGTTCTCTATGGGGTTCAGGTCAGGAGAGTTGGCAGGCCAATTGAGCACAGTAATACCATGGTCAGTAAACCATTTACCAGTGGTTTTGGCACTGTGAGCAGGTGCCAGGTCGTGCTGAAAAATGAAATCTTCATCTTCATAAAGCTTTTCAGCAGATGGAAGCATGAAGTGCTCCAAAATCTCCTGATATCTAGCTGCATTGACCCTGCCCTTGATAAAACACAGTGGACCAACACCAGCAGCTGACATGACACCCCAGACCATCACTGACTGTGGGTGCTTCACACTGGACTTTTGGCATTTCCTTCTCCCCAGTCTTCCTCCAGACTCTGGCACCTTGATTTCCGAATGACATGCAACATTTGCTTTCATCCGAAAGCCACTGCGCAACCACTGAACAACAGTCCAGTGCTGCTTCTCTGTAGCCCAGGTCAGGTGCTTCTGCTGCTGTTTCTGGTTCAAAAGTGGCTTGACCTGGGGAATGCGGCACCTGTAGCCCATTTCCTGCACACGCTTGTGCACGGTGGCTCTGGATGTTTCTACTCCAGACTCAGTCCACTGCTTCCGCAGGTCCCCCAAGGTCTGAAATCGGCCCTTCTCCACGATCTTCCTCAGGGTCCGGTCACCTCTTCTCGTTGTGCAGCGTTTTCTGCCACACTTTTCCCTTCCCACAGACTTCCCACTGAGGTGCCTTGATACAGCACTCTGGGAACAGCCTGTTCCTTCAGCAATTTCTTTCTGTGTCATACCCTCTTGCTTGAGGGTGTCAATGATGGCCTTCTGGACAGCAGTCAGGTCGGCAGTCTTACCCATGATTGCGGTTTTGAGTAATGAACAAGGCTGGGAGTTTTTAAAAGCCTCAGGAATCTTTTGCAGGTGTTTAGAGTTACGTCGTTGATTCAGATGGTTAGGTTAATAGCTTGTTTAGAGAAACTTTTCATGATATGCCAATTTTTTGGGACAGGCATTTTGGGTTTTCATGAGCTGTATGCCATAATCATCAGTATTAAAACAATTAAAGACCTGAAATATTTCAGTTGGTGTGCAATGAATCTGAAATATATGAAAGTTTCATTTTTATCATTACATTATGGAAAATAATTACCTTTATCACAATATGCTATTTTTTGAGAAGGACCTGTAGTTTGGAAGACCATGAAATAATCAGAGAAATATGTATCTTATACAAATATAAACTGGTTTTCAACCAGTTTGACAAGACTGTCAACAAGGAAGAGGGCCGGCAATGGAGGAGGGGCGTACCAAAGAGACCATCTTATCACAAGCAGAACTGGTTTGTTCCACTTTGGAGTAAGCTGTTGGGGGAAGAATCAGTTTTGTTGTGCGTTTCCTTGACTGATGAAGCCTTCCGGACCGAAGGCGAAACGTTTCAGCACCAAAAAAGAAACTGTCCAGATGACCTGACTGAAAAATGTTGGATATTATACCTGGATTGTTGAGCATGGACTTTGTTATCTTATGCAAAGTTCTCCTGTAAGCAGTCTGTACATATTGTGTGACTGTTTATATCAATATTCAGTTGTAATCTTGGACAGATATACTGGTATAAACAGCCTAGACATGAAATTGTGAGCACTAAGAAAGAAACAGTCTGACCTGCCCAACATTTTTCAGTCAGGTCATCTGGACAGTTTCTTTTTTTGTGCTGAAACGTTTCGCCTTCGATCCGGAAGGCTTCATCAGTCAAGGCAACACAAAACAGATTCTTCCCCCAACAGCTTACTCCAAAGTGGAACAATCCGACTTGCCATTTTTGGACACCTCACTTGTTCAGTTTGTAGTAAATCTGGATGCTTGGAAACCGAAAACACACATGCAAAAGGTTGGTAGACTTATCAAAGTCCTGGTGTCAGATGAGCCAAAGGTTAGCCCTGCTGCTAGCTGTCAGTGTAGCATGTTCTATCTACTGCTAGCTCCAGGTGTAGGACTGTCAGCTTTAATGCTACCTCAGCTTCCCAGATGTAACAAAGTATTTGACATCAACACCCTGTAGGTTTTGGACGGTTTGCATTTCTGGCAAAAAAGCAACCCGAAGACAATCCCTCCAGAACAGCAAAGTGACAGTCCCAATCTCTGATGAGTGCGACTTTAACAACAAATAGTTCCACTGATGAAACTCAAGAAAAATTTTCCCTGCTATGCTCGACTTGTTTTATTTAGAGGGACATCTGCTCGAAGCAGGTAAATTATCTACAACCATGAATAGTGAAAACAGTTCACACAAAGTATCATATTTACATGTTGAACTGCTGGTTTGAAGTGTCTGCTATTTCATGGCACATTTTTATTTAGGGAAAAAACTACACGACTCCACGTCAGCGAAACCTCCTTCTGTCAAAGAACTCAAACTGAAGCTAAGCAGAGCTCAGACTGTGGCCCACACAGATCCTGCAGCATTTTACTAACAACCGTGCATCAAACTTCCAGAGACATGAAGTTCAGATTCTTCTGTAAACACGAAGAATGTTTGTACCTAAATAGCATTCTACCATTTTTCATTGAACAGCATCTGAACATCTTGAGTCACAGGACACAACTAAGCTTTCGATACAACTTTTATACTTAATGAACCAATCATCAAAAGTACCAAAAGTTCAATCCACAAAACTGAGGTAAATGTTTCTTCTTCTACTGTAGAAAACGTGCATAATTAGTGCTTTGCGATTATCTGCAGTACGAAAAAAAAAAAAAAATGCTGTCCTGTATATATATGTGTGTATATATATATATATATAAATACCTTATTGGATTTTTTTCAGGAAAAACCAGAGTGCTGACAAAGACCATGTGAAAGCCATTTATCCTCAATATCTGAATTATTGCACATTAAAATTACAAAATATGTTTGTTGTTTTAAAACATTTACATTTTCCCATAAATAAGAAAAATCCCAACACAGAATGCCAGTTGTCAAATATAATAGAAATCTTTATTGACCACACCTGAGCACAATTGATTTCTGATAATAGAATGGACTTTATCATGAGACAGGCAGGTGTTTAATTTTACATTTACATTTCTGATAGATGAAAACAAGAAGAGAAGATGGAACCTTCATGGTGTTCAATTATTTCACTGTAGATTACTTACATGTGTGGATTTTAAAGATCAGGGTAAAACCAGCAGCTTTAACTGTCATGTTTAAAATACATTAAGACAGTATGAAAAAAAAACCTACTCCTGGCAGATGTGCTGCCATGTTTGGGTTAGATGCTGGATCAGCTGTAGTTACCTCAACACATCCTGACTACTGTACACCTTCTCTGTATAGTGAACGTTGTTTATCCCACAACAAGCGTGTCATCATCTACAAACTCATAGTAGGGAACTTCCAGGTTGAGGGGGGCAGGGCCTTTTCTGATGCGGCCTGAAGCATCATAATGTGAGCCGTGACATGGGCAGTAGTACCCTCCGTATTCACCAGCATTGGAAATGGGCACACAGCCCAGATGTGTGCACACTCCCAGGACAATGACCCAACGGGGGTCCAAGACCCGGTCTTTGTCATGCTGAGGGTCTCGCAGCTCTGAAAGGTTGACGGCAGCCTCCGTACTTATCTCCTTCTTGGTGCGGTGACGTACAAACAGAGGTTTACCTCGCCACTTGAAGGTCATGTTCTTGCCTTCGGGGATTTGGCCCAGCTTGATTTCGATCTTGGACACAGCCAAGACGTCGGCTGAGGCACTCATTGAGGTCACAAACTGAGTGACCACTGTTTTGGCAGCGTAGACACTCACTACAGCTGCAGCTCCGCTCAACAGGTAAGAGAAGGCTTTCCTGGATCCACTGCTCTCCTGGGATGATGCTTTGGGGCTGACCACATCTGGACGCCTGTACGGACTGAAGTCCGGTACCTTGATGTCTGTGTGGGCAAATCGGACTCCTGCACAGCCTACAAGAACAATCTGTCATTAGTTCAACCAAAGATATAATTAAAATAGAAAACAAATACTAAAGCAAACAGGATGTATAACAGATAAATAAATAAACTTCAGTACATAACTCAGTGATTTAAATCATTATTACTGTATCATTAAGGCTGTACTCTAATACATGTGATTTTTTTGGTGTAACAAAAACAGACAAATGACTGACTCTCCATATCTAATAAACAACTGTAATATGTTTTTTATGAATGTGTATACAGTACAATGGACTTGCGACCTGTCCAGGGTGTACTCCGCCTATCGCAGTGATAGCTGGACATGGGCACCAGTGACCCCCACGACCCAAAAAGGAAGAAGCGGGTAAAGATAATGGATAATGGATGTATACAGTACACCCATTTTAATGTGTCTAACAAATGTGTCTATATTAAATCTGTTTTTAAAAGGGCCAAGCAATTTATAACTTTCAGATTGTACTATCCTTTTTGTGAAATCAAATTCAGATGACAACGCAATCTTATAATATAATCTTTTTTATTATGATCTGGCTCTACTCTTTGTTTTACTCATCAGTTAAAAAATAAAATAAAATCTAAAAGCAACACAGCCAATCACTCATACAAGCGAGGAAACACCCAAACCTTGCAAAATGCAACAACTATAAATTAAAAAAAGCTTAAAAAAATAAAATAAAATTCTTAATGTTAGGGACTGCAAATATTTAGCATCAGACTGTTTAAAGGGAAACTAAACTGGGATGTAAATTATTGGCATTTCAGTTCGATTGGAAATTTTCCAAATATATCCTAATTTAAAGTTCACTGAATGCAAATGTAGTGTATTAATCATGCTTAAAATGTATCAATGACTTTTGGATGAATAACTATGATTACATAACACACTAGTTTTCCACAGTAGTTCCAGTAAATGTGACTTTGCCTTGAAAAGTGTGAAAATGTTGAAAAACCCATAGAGATGTCAGTACATGTCAATTATATACTTTTCTATGCAATAAATGCATAAACCACTACACCAAGGGCACTTTTTGTTCTAACCGTAATTAATATGTCAAGTACATAAAAAAAAAACTATAAACCAAACAAAATGTCTTAAGTTTTATTTATTTTTATCCTCAAGTCCTACACAAATAACATTGTATAAGGAATGCTGCAGTAATTTAGGTACAATCACCGAAAGAATAGAGCACACTTGTTAGATTAAGACAGAAAACATACTTACTAATCCCGAGTAAACAATGTGCAATGTTCGACCCACACAGAAGCAGCCAGTCTGTTAAAATAATTAAAATAACACTGACCCCTGAAGTGTAGCTGCTTGTTAGCAGCCTGTGCTAACCGCTAGTTAGCAAACAACCCAGTGGAGACGGACACATATAAGAAACAAATTGCAGCATAATAAACTAGCTACTTTAAGACCTCACTTTTCTGTTCAGAAACATCTCGCTGCGTTTGACTAATAATTTTAATACTTAAGGTAATAGTACTTAGGCGGGGAGGGAAACGCTTTCAGTCAATGACAAGACTCACCGTTGATGCTAACAGTGACGGCAGGCCCTGTCTTCGGGCTTTGACCACTCAGCGACTCGCGGCAAAGGAACGGCTTCTTCGTGTCCAGCAAAATCTTTTCCTCCTTTGTAACAACCCCGGGCACCAGAGCCTTCAGGGGCCCGGCGACTGTAAACGCCGTAGCCTGCATGTAAGGGGAAAATGCCCCTGACCGGGCAGCTAGGGACATCATCTTTAGCAGAAAATACAACGACCTTGTGTGTCTTCACTACGCACGCTACGAGCTGACGTCACTAATAGATCACGTGGCACGCAGTACGTAGAAACAGAGCCCAGCCAAACTTTTTTTTTTAAGCATTTCTTTTATTATTATTATTATTATTTTTAATAGATTAATAACAAAACAAACAAACAAACAAAAAACATACAAAAAAACTAAGGCAATGACAATTTCACATTTAACAAATATATTACAGCTAACATGGCAAAACCTCCCTATCAATAACAACATTTTTATACAAAAATTATAACTTCAATATTATATCCAACAATATATATATATATAAAAAAGAAAACTTAAGGAAATCACGATTCCTGAAATTTAACAGGTAAAAAATTAAAGTAAATCCTGGGGTTTATAACAACTTAAACTCTGAAAAAATAGAGAAAAGTTTGATAGGAGGGGCTGTCTCAATCTTTTAAAAGAATTACCAAATAATACAAACTCATTCTTAAACGCTTTTAGAATAAGAAGAGCTTTTGTAAAACGACATTTATGGATGAAGAATTTGGCAAACATTATAATATTATTGATCAAATATTCATTTTTTTATTCTTTAATAAAATTCCAAATTTTATTACTTTCCAAGAAAAAAAGAACAATTTCAAGAGACTTAGATGTCAACCAGTTATTCAACTCCTTCCAAAAAACACTTACAATCTCACATTCGTAAAACACATGTTCTGTTGATTCCAACATTGATTTACAAAAATAACAAGTCTCCATTTCAAAATTGAATATTCTTTTAAAGAACTCCTGTGAAGGGTAAATTTCATTTACAATTTTAAAGTGGATTTCTTTCACTTACCGAGGAATTGGAAATTTCAGAAATTTAGTTCTGATTGATCTAATTTCTTGTTTGTTAAAGTATTTTTTTAACTGATGTGTTCTTTTGGAGGACCCAGGATAGATCCCGTTGATTAAAAGATTTCTCAAAACTATATTATTGCATTTTTTATCTACAAAATTTACATAATTAATTATTATTTTATGCCATCTGTGTGTTGGGATCTGTTCTAAATTATTCTTGATTAAAATAATCATAACATTTGGAAAGTTATCAATGACCTTTTTTGTAATCCTCAGGGGTACAAATTATTTTTTATTTATTACAAAATTCTTCATATTTTAACCAATCTCCTTTATCATTTATCAAATGAACAATGACAGAATTTGTTTTTCCATCCATCCTTTCATAAGCATTGATTTTCGTCTCTTTAGAATCACCCTGTTATTCCACAATGGGACATTATGTGGACTAAAGTTATGCCTGAAAATCATTTTCCAGTAAAACAAGACCTGCTGAAGTCACATTTCAACAGGAAATCAATGACACCCAATTTCTTAAAGACAAAGTGAAAACCAAATATCTTCACTACATCTCAAAAAAGACTGGAGCCATCTAGCTTCACCATTCATGGTTTCAAAATCAATGGCTTTTATTCCTTCCTCCTCATAACTTTTAATTATATCTGCTTTTCTGATATAATGATGTTTATTCTTCCAAATAAAATTGAAAATTAAGGTGTTTATTTCTTTTATGGGTTTTGTGGAAATAGTAAATGGGATATATTAGTCTGGAAACAAATTCAGTTTTTGTCAATAATGATCTTCCAAATAATGTTCAGTCTCTCTGCAACCAATTATTTAGGATTTTTCTGGATTTTTCAATTGGCTTCTGGATGTTCTTGCTGACACTAGATTTAGAATCTTTGGATATCCAGATACCCAAGTAATGGACCTCATTTTTCACTGGGATATTGCACATCAACTTTTCCAAACTGCCATGAATACTTAAAAGTTAACATTTATTAAGATTGAGAATTAGACCTGAAGCTTTGGAGAATGATTTCATCACTTCAAGAGCGACAGGTATCTGATCCTTATCTTTCAAAAACAGTGTGGTGTCATCTGCTAATTGACTAATTAATAGTTTTTCCCCTTCTATAGTAAAGCCCTCAATTTCAGAATTTTTTAGCCGGATGGACAATAACTCAGCGACTGTAATAAACAACAATAAAGATAAACTACACCCTTGTCTTCTGCCTCTTCCTATATTGAATCTAGTGGTTGCACCTTCAGGAAGGGAAACACAACTATTAATATCTGTGTGTAACATCGTAATTATGTTGAAAAAATATTCACCAAATCCAAAGTGTTTTAATGTTTCATAAATGAAAGGATGTTCAACTGAGTCAAATGCTTTTTGAAAGTCAAGAAATAAAATATAAGCATCATCTTCCACCAAATCACTATAATCTATAAGCTCTAAAACCAATCTGATATTATTATGAATTGATCTACCTTTCATGAATCCTGACTGAGCTGCTTATGATTTTTGGGAGATCAGCTTTTAACCTAGAGTGCCAGTGCCATGGTAAGGAGTTTATAGTCTGTATTCAGAAGAGTGAAAGGTCTTAGATTGTGTAATATTCTTTTGTCTTTTTCCGGTTTAGGGATTAATTTTATTAAACCTTGTTTCATCGTTGTCATCAATTCCTTTTGGCTGATACTTTCTATGATTGCATCAAATAATAAGTGTTTTATTTCTTCCCAAAAATGCTTATAGAAATTAGCAGTTAAACCATCTGGACCAGGCGAACGATTAGATGCATTTTTTTTTTTTTTATAACTTCATCTAATTCTGCTAATTTTAAATTTTCTTCACAAATTTTTTTAAAGTGATCATCAATTTTGGGAATCTTATCTCCTGTTTATTGAAAAAAAAATAGTGAATGCTGTTCACAATAAGAGAGAGAATAAATGTTACTATAAAAGTTATATATTTCCCTAGAAATTATTTTTGAGTTTGTACATTCCTCCCCATTAATTAATAAACAAGAAATTGCATTTGTTTTTTCTTGTCTTCCTTTTTCCAGCCTATTAAAAAAGGATGAATTTTTTCCCATCTTCTATCCACTTTGCTCGTGATCTTATGAATGCACCTTGGGCTTTATTGAAATAAAGCTGCTTTAATTGAGACTGTATATTTGAAATTTATATTTTATCTTCTTCCGACCAATTCAATTTAGAGTAACAATTTAGCAAAGTTTTAACCAGATTGTTTTCCTTCTCTCTTTTTTCCAATGCTTGTCTTTTACTAAAGGCAATAGAAAATTTTCTTATTGAAAATTTTAAAAGTTCCCATTTTTGTATATTGGATAGGTTAGTATTTTTATTAATGTCTAAAATTAATCTTTAATATTATAACAATATAGATCATTTTTTAAAAGGGATGAATTGAATTTCCAATAATCTTTTTTACTTCTAGAGAGAGTCTGATTATAGATAATCAAATGTATAACACAGTGATCACTAAGGGGGTTTATGGAAATATTAGCAGAGAGTTTGAACTGCATTATGGGAGTGGAAACCAACCAGTAATCAATTCTCGATTTAGAGTTTCCATTAGGCTTTAACCATGTGAATTGTCTTGTGCTGGGGTTATTGATCCTCCACACATCCAACAGGCCATTCATATTCATAAAATTAGTAAAAATAGGATTTGGATGATATTGTGAATATTTTCAGGGCTATCTATCTAACCATTCCTCTGCGGCCATATCCTACTACTACCAAATCAGTAAAATAAGTTGTTTTCAACTCTTCTTTGACATTTGTAATTTTGTAAAGCAAAGTTTCATTTTTAAGTTTGTTGTTGTATCCATAAATATTGATCAAAATAAAAGTACTTTTTTCTATTTTCAAAACGCAAGTTACCCAGTGACCTTCGTTATCCGTCCTTTCTGTAAGAACTTCACCAGAAAATGTATTAAAACAAATAGCAACTCCTGCCGAGCGATTGGATCCATGACTACATATAATCTTGTCTTCCCATTGCTGGGACCAAAATTTAACATCAGACTTATCAGAGTGAGTCTCTTGAAAAAGCGGCCGAAATGAGTTTTCTCTGCAGGGTGTCTGAGCTCTCCCTTAGAGACAGGGTGAGAAGCTCGATCATCCGGGAGAGATTCAGAGTAGAGCCGCTGCTTCTCCATGTCGAGAGGAGCCAGTTGAGGTGGCTCGGGCATCTGGTTAGGATGACTCCTGGACGCCTCCCTGGTGAGGTGTTCAGGACACGTCCCACCGGGAGGAGACCCAGAGGAAGACCCAGGACACACTGGAGGGACTATGTTTCTCGGCTGGCCTGGGAACGCCTCGGGATTCCCCCGGAGGAGCTGGACCAAGTGGCTGGGGAGAGGGAAGTCTGGGCCTCCCTACTTAGGCTGCTACCCCCACGACCCGACCCCGGATAAACGGAAGAAAATGGATGGATGGATGGTTCGCAACCCTAACAGTGCCCTCTTTTATTTATTTTGTTTTTTACATGAATAATTATTTTATGCATAGTTCATTTACGTGCTTCTGAACCACTTAATCTCTGAGGTCCAAATTGCTACACATCTGATGATGATATATCTGCTGGACTGTACAGAGGCCCAGCATTATAACGTCCAAATTTCTTAATTGTCACGCCTAAATATCACACAGCTATTGCACAACATTCTCACAACTACTAAGCGGTACTCACCAGTGTCAAAATTTTACAGTTTTGTCATGAGAATGTCGTGCAACACTGATGCAATAGTTATGCATGCTGCGGGCAAATTAGGGCTGAAAATCCATCAGGGAATTTGAGTGACAAACGTGTCAATTCAGTGTGACTTGAAATAAAAATTTGCATTTTCTTCCACAAATCTGTGTCTCCAACTAGACGCCACAGTTACAGCCCAACAAGATACTGGCTGTAATTAAAATGAAGTTATCAGCTGAAATAATGCATTGTCAGGCCATAATTTATGGCTGCTAGAATATAAAGTGGTGTGAGTGTACAGAATAATATTAGGATGAATGATTTTGGAGTTCAGCTGAACAAGTATTATGTTACATAGTTAAAGTAAGCATACAAAATGTAAATGTGCTCTTGAACATAACCCGACAGTCTGCAGTGATAATCACATTGTGCCAATGTGCTTGTGTTTCTGTTTTTTTTTTCAGAGCAGGAATAAATA